ATTAAAATACAATTATAACAAATAGAAACGTTTTGCACAAAGGCCCTTCACCACACGCAAAACAATCTTACATTTTGATGTAACACTGAAACCTGCTTTACGAGAAAGAAAGTGATACTACCACTTTCGTTACATTGCACGCTGTTGACATTCGATATTCTTATGGAATAATTCCTTGCCTACCATTTTCTTTTCGACAGAAATCTAAGCATAGTTCGTACATTCTTCGCGGTTTACGTGGTTTTTGATAAGTACAACAAGTGTATGGAAAAGGAATACTTGTTTGTCTTTTACACGGTGATAACATTAATGGAAAAATTCCAATTTTGAAATGTGGGACGCTTTCACATAAATGTTTTCGTTAATCGGTATTTAACATGGCAGAAGAAAATAGTAGGGAACAAAGTTGGAATTACAAATTTGTTGTTTCATAATGACTGTGATAAAAAGCAATCCTAGAGTGAACTCGCGTCTAGCTCCCACGATACAACAAATATCGATTGTTTTTATTGAAACACTTTATGGACTTGAGCGTCAAGGGGGGCTGTCTGAGCAGGTCAGGAATAATATTAATAAAAACGAGAAACCGAAAAAAAAAGGAAAAAGGTGAGCCAAAGCCAGATCGCCGACTTCCAGTCGGAGCGAAAGGACCAGAGATGTGTCATAGATCAGTTGAGCCCTCTTCTGATCAACTGTGAGTATGGACAATATAGTCAGGGCAAGCAGCACCCCCAACATGTGAGTAGTATTCGAGGCCGGCTCTCATCTTGGCGTTGTACACAGTAAAATGGTCATGTGGAGAAAAGTACTTCTTAACCCTAAACAGATAGCCTAGCTTTTTCTTGCCAAATCAAGTCCTCGGTAATCTTTACTTCGACCAGCCGAAACTAATGGCTCCTAAGCAGAACTCGGCCATCCATCGAAACCGGATGATCGCTAGACCGCTTCTTGTTAGCCAAGGTTCAGAACTGTGTTTCGGAAGGATTAAACACTAGTATTCTTCGCGGCAGCTCACCAGCAGAGATCGTCTTGGCGCTCTGAGTGCCTGCATGTAAAGTGCTGTCATCAGCGAATTTGTCGATAGGATTGATAGTGCAGGAGAGGAGATCGTTGATAACTATTTTCAGGAGTTTAACCTAGGATTGCTTTTTGACGCATTCATTGCTTACTATGGTCTTTTTCAGGAGTATCCAGTACGTTTTGACCTCTACCGAGGTGAACAGCTGATCGGCAAGTGACATCTTTGTGTTGCCCTGGCAATAATAAATCGGATAAAACTCATAAAAGAATACAGTATTGTTTATACATAACATAGTCAAAGAATAGTCAACGAATGCACAGGTACCAGTAGAAGGTGCACTCTCGAAAAAACCTCATCTTCTAAAGATGCCGAAATTTTTCTAGGAACTCGAGTTCTTTCTTTAGGTGTCGCACTTGAAGACAGGGTTGAAAAAAACATGTATTTTTTTATTTTATACAAAACACATGTTTTTTTTGTTTTAACCTTTTATTATATAAATTCGCCTTGCAAGTTGGCTATTGCAATAACGTCTACCGTAAGTTATTTTGTGGTGTTCTTTTTTTTTGAAAAATGTCGTCTATAGGAAGGAAGAAAGATGCCATTTGGTTCTATTTTGATGTTGTTAAAGATAATAACAAAAAATCAGTGACTACTAAATGTAAAGTAATTATGTACTGCGTATGACGAAACATATTCAAAAATTTGTTCCATCTGAAAATTCTCAGCTACCAATGTCAATTATCTATGATTCCGAGTCAGATGAGGATTTAACGCTAGATGAGATATCCAAAACTCAAAAATATTCAAAGATTGTTTATTCAGATAATAATACAGGTAACTTTGAATTTTAAATTTTTACCAATTTAAAGACAAATGCCCAAGACTATTTAAAAATTAAAAGTATGTCGCATTTGCTTTGGACAAAGTCCAAAGAAACACTTACACTATAGGAGAGGCTACAGAGATATAGCTATAGCTAGAATTTTTAGAAGCATTCAAGACTGAACAAGCAATTGGAGAATTTTCGGTAAGTGATACGAATAAAGTCGAGGAGCGTATGGAAATGGCTTTGACCCCAGCTCATTTTTTGCCATTTAGAAGCATTGCCAATTATTACTAGTTACCAGGCAAAGTGTGTACCCTTTAAACCATATATATTTTCTAAACATCTAATTGAGAATGTAACACCATTCGCATGATGGCGTTCTATGGAAAAAAATTTATAAATACCACAGCCTTGGAACTTGCTCAACAGCTTCATACATGCTACTGCATCGTCAGCCAACATAGACTCTTCTCATCATACGGTTTAGTCCATTCAAAACTACGTAATCGGCTAAGCAATGTCAAAGCTGCTAAGTTGGTATCCATTTTTAAAGAGCTCAATTCCATCATTGATGACGTGACTGATCAGATATCAGATTGATGACTTAGATGACTATGAGACTGAAAGAGTGTGGGGAATTTGTTAACGCTTGTATGCAAAATGTTTTCCGATTTTTGTTGTGTTCCTATTATTGATAAATAAATATTTATGTTAAAAAGTTTGTATAATATATTTGAGAACATTTCCTATTTTTATTTATTATATGAATAAAGAAAATGAAGAAAAAAACGCTTATTTAATTTAAGTGTTTTAAACATGTTTTAAACTGTTTTAAACCTAAGCGAATGTTTTAAACATGTTTAAAACAATTGATGAGAACAAAATGTTTAAAACGAAAGAACCCTGCCTGAAGAGGTCCCAGAATTTTTTATTGCTTTATACACAGTGGTGCTGTCGTATGTTGGCGCACGTACGTCAAAAAGTTGTTTGTAATGGCATCAAGTAATTGTATTTATACAGGGTGATTCATTGTTTTTATGGTATAGGCAATTGATAAAAAAAATGCTAGTTAAAAAATAATTTTTAGCGCCTTTGTCATTTATATCGGTAACCAATGCCGATTTTAACAAAACTTGGAATATACTGTATGATCTCAAGTTTGAAATGGTTGTAAGGGCGCTGAGGTAGGTAAAAAAAAATTTTTTTTTCATTTTTTGTATTTTTAGTTAGGTGAAAAACTGAAATAAAGAATAGAAAATAACGTTAGTGAAGTGAAATGGGACTTCTACAGGGTGACTTTGAAGTTGAGTCATTAATTTTCAGATAATGATTGTAGAAGGAAGATAAACCAAAATATGTGTGTAAAAATAAAAAAAAATTAAAAAAAAAATTTTTACCGTGTTTTATAAAGTATCCTCCCGACAAGTATTTCAGTGCGGACCTGTATTTGATCGTGAGGTCTTGGAGCACCGGCATGCCGTCCATATGTGAGGTCTTAAGTCAAATGATTCACGAACCCGTTGTACTACATTAACAAAGGCACGAGGGGTTGGTTGCACTCGATTGGGAAACCGATCCGCATAAACATGTGCCATTTTTTATTTCGTTTGAGCCACGCAACAGACACCACTATCCACTACCGACTGACACTGACTGTATACAACTGAATGAAATAATTGTAAAAACATCGTTCCAAATTCTTTCGCTTTTTTGTTTCCGATGTGATGAACCGATAAGGCGAATTATATCCGTTGTAGCCAAACACGAGCACATATTATTATTGAGACAGGGCGGTACTCAAACTTCCAAAGGGCTATAACTTTGTTACTTTAATTTTACCAGAAAAATGGTAAAGGAAAAAACATTTCTTTTGATCAGATCTACTCACTGTTAAAATAAATGACTCAACTTCGAAGTATAAACTACAAAGGATATGGAATGGATACCTCTGCAGGAGGTGTACCATTAGTAACTGTCCTAAATAAAACTATAGATCAAACTAGTAAGAAGTATAGCTTTCGTCCGTTCATCGGCGACGGACGGACAACCATGGACAGCTGTTTCGTGCTATTTGGCAATTCCTAAGGTATAACTTGGTCTCAGGTACGACAATGAACGAAAGCTGAGCAATATCCTCTATCCATTGCATAATGTCTATCGAAATAAGACATCACAAAATGCGATCTGTTACCAGAATCGAACAGCGCGAATTGTTTTCACTTTCTCAGTGGTCGATTCTGGTAATAGATGACACTTTTTTCTGTCTCATTTCGGTAAATCGATAGATGAGTCAATGTTCTCAATTTAGGATCAGCTTTATTTGCCCTAGTAGTGATTATATCCCGGTTGAATTGAAAATAAATGCGGACTTGTGTATAGAGTGAAAGAAAATGATCGCCAGAAAACTGTTCACAAGGGTGAGTGAAACTGGCGCTCAAGACTTCAGTTTTCAGTCGTTTTCTTATGTTGTTTACACAAGCCAGATCACACGAGTTCTTTGTAAATATTTCCTTCAAATCCGTAACATATTCAACGAAGCTCGCAAAGGCTTCATCAATCCTGCAAATTGAGCATAGGTTATTTATATTTTTTTACACTGATGCACTTATGAATCATAGATAAATTTTGTCAATTACACCTCCAGCTGAGGCATCGGAACACCATTTGCCTCCTTTATTTTGTATTTTGTATTCACGCACGCAGCACCAACTTGTCAAAGTGAATCGCCCTACACACATCCGACAGCCACGCGGCGCATTTCCGGGGGGAGTTATAGTACAGCACGTATCTTCGCAGCTGCTTAGAAACATATTATAGTTGTTTTTTTGCATAATCTCGTTAAAAAAAGACCCCTTTTAAAGAATCTGCATGTTGTCAGATATAAAAAATGCGTCAAGAATTGTTTTTCTTTTGGGAGATCGCGTCCAAAGGGCAGGTAGCACCGCGGTAGAATCTGTTTTTTCGATGGAGTGGTATCTTCTACTGGTAGCACTGTATTGTTTGTGGATATGCACTGTATTGTTTGTGGATATGGGATATTTTGAAATATTGCTAGGTAATCAGCTGTCACTGACGTAATGGATAACCGTAAAAAAGTTTCTACCCTGTATATCCGACCTTTAACCTCAAAATTTACTCACCTTATTCGCTGACGACGAATGATAGTTGTAGGCCCTGGACGGCTTGTTGCCGCCCCCGCTAACAACGTTCGGCGTGCCGCCTCCTTCGCTGGCGTTCGAGCCGGTTTTCGCTGGCGTTTTGGCGACGGTGGTTGCCGTTTGCGGCACCGAGGTCGCTGTCGTCGCAGCAGCGGCTGGCGCCACCGTTGTTTCTCCGCCTCCGTTTCCAATGTTCCCGCCGCCGCCTGCAGCCGTCGTGCAGCCGTTGCCGCCACCGCCGACAGTTGTTTTCGTCACCTACAAAATAAAATTTCCGTTTACAAATATGATACAACCTTAAAGCGGGGTACCCTGGCAGGCCATCCTCCTTATGTGTTTTATTTGTCTTCAGGAGGTTTACCATCTGTTTTAGGGTTCTTACCAAAACGATTGACCGTTAATGGCCTAATTGACAAACCTTTTCAAAATAAGTTTAATTTTAATCGTATTTACAATCATTACATTGTTTTTCTACATACGTTCAACTTTTTCACCCATTTTTTTCACCAAAACAAAATCAATGTTGCATTATAATTTTCCTACTACATTCGTTATAACTTTCGTTAAGCAGGGTTAGTATACCGCACTATGATAATAAATATCCTTTAATTTTATAAATCAGGTACTAATATTAAGCTTACCTTAACTAACCTATGGCTGTACTAGAGTGTATGAAAGTTTATGGCTTAACTAAGCTTGTGGCATTTGATGATATTTGGGTCAAATTTACTATATAGCACAACTAAACTTATGGCGTTTGCTGAAATTTAGATCAAATTTACCATATGACTTAACTAAGCTAATGGCCTTTGATGAAATGTAGGTCCAATTCATCATGTGGCATTTGATGAAATTTAGGTCCAATTTATCATGTGGCTTAACTTAGCTTATGGCATTTGATGAAATTTAGGTCTAATTTATTATATGGCTTAACTAAGCTTATGACATTTGATAAAATGTAGGTCCAATTCATCATATGGCTCAACTAATCTTAAGACGTTAAGCTTGCATATGCGTGTAGAAAGTAGCAATTTTCCGCATGCTCCTTTCTGCACACAGATGCGTATTGAAAATGAGTATGGTGTATCTGAAGTCACTTGAAATAGCATAAAAACCTTTGGTCGGCGCGTCCTTTGTAATTTCATGACGTATCATAGGCGTGCGGCATTTATTTAGAACGATAATAATAATGTTTTTATATCACAATAAATGGATTTTACTATCTTCTTATTTTTTTGATTTGGGATAAAAAATACTTATATTGGGAGTTTAATTTATGTTGACTGAAAGTTAAGAAATGGAAAAATTACAGAATTCCAACGTTTGACATAGGCAAATATTTACATAGCAGGTAGGTATATAAAAAGGTATATAAAGACTTACATTATAGGTATTTATATATCATCCTCGCCTTCGGAGCTGTCGCTAGAGTCATCTTGTAGAGGAATTACAACGGGATTTACAGGAGGCAAAACACAATATTCATTTTCTTTTTCAATAATATGCCTAGAACACTGCTTCCATAGGTCTGTGGCAGCAATATGAGATACTGCATCTCTTATTGTGGCCAATAGCGATTCACTTAATTGAGGAGTCTGATTATGTTTTCTTACTTTTTTTTTAAAGCAGCCCAGACCAAGTCAATCGGGTTAAAAGTGCAGTAATAGGGAGGTAGACGTAATACTTCATGGCCATTTTGCTGAAGCAGATTGTCAACAACATACTCTTTTTCAAATTTTTGTCTTTTAATAAGATCCAATAATATGGCTTTGGTTGATTTTTGTGGTATTTCCATTCCCTCGGGATCACTGAATTTGGGGAAATGTTTGGTATTAACTGCTGCTCTATCCACTTTTCAAATAAGTCGGAGGTCATGTCCTCATGATAGTCGGCACATGATTCTTTGATATTTTTGGCAGGTAACAGCAAGGCATTAGGTATAAATCCATTTTCACTGCCAGCATGGAGAATAATGATTCGTTTTCCACGGTTGCATGGTGCATTTAAAATGCACTTGTTGCTGTCGTCAACCCAGCCGTACTGCACAACATCATGGGTATCATATCACGTTTCATCCAGGTAAATCAGATTTCTTTTCTGCTCTCTATAGATTTTAACTTTGTGCAAAAATTCTTGGCGCAATTCAACGATTCGAGACGACTCCATAATCACCATTCTTTTATCTAATTTTTTGTATTGAAAACCACACAGTTTTACAATACAGTGCAGTGAGTCTAAGCATTTGTAATTATAAAAATCTTCAGGATAATCTTTTAATTTATCCCGTATCATTTCCAACGTGGGCACCAAATTTTCTTTATAAAATCCTTATATTATACGACGAATATCTTCCTGAAAACCCACGTCTATTCTTTTTAATTTTTGCCCTATGCGCTTTCTGTGGAAGGAATGGTTGACTACATCTCCCCTTTTTATAACCCGATAAATGGTAGACCGACTGATTTTTGTCAGGATACAAATTCTGTTTAAAATTTGATTTTGCGAGGAATCTGGATTTTCGTTTTTCAGACAATCATACATATTTAGGATTACTCTTTGGGTCTGTTCCTCTAAATCTTTATGAAAGAATTCTGCCTGCACAGGTTCATCAACCATCTCCTCGTGGCTTGGAGCATTTTCCCAAGGTCTCCAAAGAGCCATATTTAGGACACACAAGAACAATCAATACAACAATTAAATCAACAAGTAAACCAAGTATTCAAAAGTCAAAAACACACAAACTAATAAAATCTATGAAAAAACACGGACAGACTAAAGAAAACACGTTTATTCACCGCTACACGGCACTGGCTAAACTGTTTCAATTTTCAGTAGCCACCTGCACTTGTTCCGAGCTCTGAAATACACGCTTTCTCATTGGCTATGTCCACGCATAGGCGTGCTTTACTCCACGTGGACCGGTGAAACTGCCTTTGATCTCTTATAAGGGGGATATTTGCTGCGAAATTTGGCGATTTTTGCAGCAACAGAGCGTGTTAAATATAGATATATAAAACCCACCCGGTATTTCACAGTGTTTCAAGTGACTTCAGATAAAATATACTTTCCGTACGCTGGTAGAAAAATCTTATACCTAACGCTTGCGGGTGTATTTTCCGCACTTGTTAGGTAAATAAATATTCACGAATATATTCTTAGTTTTACGATAGCGTTCAAGTTATGTTCATTGAGTATTTATTCTTTATGGGAATATATTATCGTAAGTATTTGATGTTTCATTACGATGAAATACTTTAATACATAGTTTAAGCAGTATAGTCAGATATTTTGACCCGAACGTTAGCTTCAAGTTTAACGGATCGGCTTTCTACGGAGCCGTTTATAAGAGTTCAATAAAACTTGAGTTAAATAATGGTTAACCCTGCAATAAAGATAAATATTTTATAAGCTACATAATAGAACAAAGTGTTACTTAATTTGCTTGTTTCATTTAGCCAGTAATAAAAGAATATAACTTTATCAGCGTGGCGTTCCATGGTCCACCCACCTTTATTAGGCGTAACACACGGCGTTGCCTTCAGAGATACCATCAATCATTTACAGAATTAGAATGGCAACACTGTGCTAGATACTGCCCACTACGCCAATGAAATCCCGGCAGGGGTATTATGTGATAAACCTAAAAAACGCAAAAAAAATACAACAAAATGTTATAGGTAGATTTTAGTGTTCAAATAGTTCATTCCACGTTTGCACTCTATGATCGCTGTGAGGCCTATCACAAGATATATATCTATGGAGGGGTGAAAACGCATTGTTGGTTGCTTGTCGGTTGCAGAAAGTCTGTGAGAAGATGTGAAAGAACTAAAGTTGCTTGAGTAGAAATATCGCACCTAAGTGTCTGCATGTGTATGTAAAATCAGTGATATTTGATATGTGAGAAAAGTATTACTGAATATGCTGCCAATGAAGGATATCTATTAGTTGTGCTTGACGGGTTATTTATAAGTTGTCCTTTCTAGAAAGGGGTTGACCCGAGTAAAGATAACATTGCCACGCAAGACAACTGTTGAAATATACTCCGTAGGGATTTTTTTCCCGAAATCGTTGCACAACTTAAAAAAATGCAAATGAAATTTGGAAAATTGACGCCTTGACGTTCGAAATGGCTCGGTACCACAGGCTTGTCATATTCTTGTCACCTGGATTGCGGTATTGCCAGCTCATCGGTCATTTTAGCTACCTTTGCTATTTTTTTAGAATGTTATAAAAAATAAGCATTTGAATAAAATGTTGAGGAATACCAATGGAGAAACATTTAACATGGCGTAATACTATTTTCCAAATAGCTAAAGATTATTCCGATAAATATTCCCATTGTACGTGTATATCGACTTGCTTAGTATTATCATAATAGGTATAATATATTGTAAAAACAATAACGCATACTGTTATAGCTTAATTGATTGATAAATTGTAGATTACGAACAGTATGTCTGACAATTATTGTTAGTTAGGTATTATACGTTTGTAGGAACATATAATAAATTTGTACAAAATATATTTTTTTAGTTGTTTTACCATATTCATCCTAAAAAAGTTACGTTCTTTGTTAAAAGCATTATTTTTATTATTATGCATAGTATTTTGCTGTAATTATATATCAAAATACTCCAAAATACCTAGACACACACTATTTATACTGTTGTATGTTTATGTGCAAATTGTGGACACGATATATGCTTAAAAATACAAATTTTCATAAAACATAAACACCACCAGTCTTGCACATACAATGGGAATATGACCTTTAGCTATATGGCAAACAGTATTACGCCTTAAATCTTATGTTTCTCCATTGGTACTCCTCAATATTTTATTCCAAGCGTCTTTTTTTATAATGTTCAACAAAACAGCAAAGGGATGAAACACGTCCGAAGAGCAGGCAACACTGCAAACCAGGTGGCAAGAATAACAAGGTAAGCTGCCAAAACTTATGTCTAGCCTGAGGTACCGACGAAGCCATTTCGAACGACAAGGCGTCATTTTTCCAATCTTCGTTAGCATTTTTCAAAGTTCTGCATATGTATCTCGAATTCTTACTGTCAAATTCTGATTTCTTATACCAGATAGTGACTTCTTCACCATGCGATTATTGTGTACTACGCACTAGCTATCGGTGGCAAGCACCATTGATACTGTATTCTACCTGGATTAGTCAACCTTATACTATATTCCGACGCCCAATACGCTAGCGCCATACAGGGTGCCCCAGAAGTCGACGTCAAGCCGAAACTGGGTGATAGGCAAAGTCATAACAGCTATCAAAAAAATATTTAAAAAAATTTTATGTATGTGTTTTGAAAATTATATTTCTTTGAAAAAAATAGAGAAATTTCACACCCTACGGCAGTCTGTCAACTCCTGTTACTACAAATATTGACTTTTTTTGGAGTTTATTTTTACAATGTAATGATGAATAATGCATCTTCAAACTGGTGTCTCAACCTTGCTGCCAACTTTTCTCGTTCAGGAAAAATTGCCACTTATTTCCCAACCAAGTATTCCAAAGTAAAACTTTGCTCAACTTTAACTGGCTGTACTGGAAAAAATGTACTACGAGAGTTTGGAAAGTAACCTTAAAAGTTGGCGCATTTAATAAGGATTCCAAAATGGTATAACACTTAGAAGATTACTCGTTAACTTATGCACAATATTTACTTGAAAAACTGATGAAATTTTTTCAAAATTTCCTAATTAAACAGCGATTATAAAAACGCACAAGGACCCTTAAGAATAAGTGTTTGCACAACAGTGGGCGTCA